ATATGTTTTGAAATGTTTTTCCTTTTTTGTTTCTTATTGATGTGCGCTCAAAGTATGCCACAAAATAAGTCGCTGAAAAATTAAGAAGAAAGAACAAAGGTTTTTAGCATTAAAGTCGTGGAAGAAAAACAAAGGTTTTCAATGGAGGGAAGTCATGAAAGGGTTGAATAGGTTCGAAATTGGCGAGAAAAAGACTAAGGCTTTCAGTGATATGAAGCTATGAAAGTATCTTCTTCTCGAAATTTTTCTGCACTAAAATTCTTTTACACTTTTAACAACTGCGCTGAAATTCTTTTTGGTTATACGAGTTGCTACGAAGGAAGTATTCCGTGTAAATTCAGCCGTCGGGCTTTCGTCCATCCGTCTTTCGTTGATTTCGTGTTTTTGTCCTTTTGCGACCATCGTTTATTATTTCTCAGTTTCTTGGGCCAAAACAAAACGATTGTTTTTCTTCAATTTAATGCATTTTCTTATTTTTAGAAATGTCATGAGGTATTGCTTAGTGCTAATGTTGCTTTTGGCTGGAGCGACGCTCGGTTATAACAAGGACTATGCCAGTAAAAGTTGTAAGTTAAATTTAATTTTTTTTTAATACATCACTCGACTTTACGTGTATCACATTGTACGAAAATCGGCACTTCTTGCGCTTCATTGTTTCCCTCGCATTCACCATCAATGAAAGCCTTCGAGCAATTCGTGTGTGGCTTTCAATGCTGCTTGAGGATTTTAGTCTCCTTTACGAATGCAGTTGAATACTAGTCTAGACGATTTTTTTTGGAGCCTTGGGATAATCAGGCTAGAGCATTCCTGAATGAAAAGAAACCATTTAACTGCTCTCAAACAAGTCTGATACCAGTTTCATGACCACAGAGGAATGGGAGACATGACGTGCCCGACGAGAGAACGAATCAGCGCCTTGGTAAGTTGATTCGTCACCTAATGAACAAGATTGTTGAAATTGTGCTACCCGTTTTATACGAATTTATACGAAAGTGGTTAAATACACAGAGACAGTTTCATTCGAATAATGGATGCTATGGAATCTTTTGATGAAGTATTTGATTTGAAAATCTGAATAGGATCAAACAAGAAAAAAGTCTCTAGTGAACGTTAAAGAAAAAATTGTTCTAATATTTAGGTGCTGTTATAATCCATTAAAAAAAGGTATACTAAGACATATACAAAGACATCATCTACCTCGTGCACGGTGAGACCACGCCCTAGGGTTCTTACCTAAGAGGCGGTAGGCTCGTAGATTCTTAAAGAGTGAAGAGAACTTCTCCTTTATCTCTGATTTGATAATTTAGCTTTACCTTTACTCACTTACTCATTTGGATACTAAGATAGCACCGTCCTCACTAGCTGTGTGGATCTTGGCATAATTTCTATTCTTTTACGTGGTTCTGCTGGTTCAGCCATTGTGGTTCCCTGGAGTCCGGAGGTCAACTTCGCCAAAGTCTGCCCCACATCGTTACCACCGCAGGCAGTCGCAGCCCTTTTGGAACAAAGCGAGATTTACCACCTTGCGACTAGTTTGACCCCAGGGTGGTGAATTTTGGTATTGGTTTAACTCTTATCTGAGCTTTCTAATGGAAACGGCGGGAAAGATTTGATAATTAAGTATCAAATATTAAGCGCTGCATATTAGTTTACATTTAGTTTTATCAAAATAGTTGATTTTCATGTGAAGGCACAGCATCACATTTTTTATATCGTTTTAATCTAAATGAATGAAAATGATATAAACAAACATCGCAATTGTATGGATAGGCTTCCGTAGTAACCCCTATGGAAAACTTGTTTCGATCCTAGTTTTTTCGACTTCTTCTTTTAACACAGAAAATTAAGTGCCGCTCAGTTTTTTCTAGGTCCGTTAGAGCACTATTTATCTAGGTGAGTATCATACCTTAAATGTTCGCGAATCGGAAGAAATAGTTTTGTAAAATTATATGAAAGTAAGCTGAACGACGAACATATGCAATTTTAAAGCTTTCGGACTTCTCAAAATTACAAAGCCAGAAATGTTTTCGAGTTATAGTCAGCCAGCAGACAAAGTGATACCGTCGTTATCGTCGGATCCGAAATGTTGGCGGAAACGATCGGTTCCAACAGATGAATCATGCCAAACTTCAAAAACACTTGATTTAAAGACTTAGGTTTATTCTTAAGATTTATCACATTTCTGACTTTTTCATTGAAAAGATCGAACCTCGTGAAAGGTTCTATTTTATTTTATGTAAAACGACTTCGTATTTTATGCCACTCTTAACACTTCCTTCACTCGTCCCGTTTCCCGAAATCGTCATCCGCGCTGGTCTTCGGATTTGCCTGTGGGTTCGACTGCAACTTGAGTAATATTCGCTCCTATTGAATGGCATTGAAATGCAGTCGAGTAGATTCTTCTTGGAATCGTAGGACAGTTGTATTAGAAGTTTTTATAACTTTATTAAAGGTAACCCGCAGTCTATGTCGATCTATGAGAGCTTTTTTCAGCCGCACGTCGTGCCAGTTTCCCTACCCCGAGGGAACTAAGGCTTGGTGGAACCAGCGAATACGCATGTGATTAGCCTACAGCATCTCTAACTACTGCACTTTCAAAGATCGACTTTTTAAAGGAATGAAAACTAAAATTCATTGCTTTTTGTGTCTTGCTCATTTTGAGACACACGGCCTCATTTGTTTGCCATGAGCTCAGCGAATTAGTGGTTGGTAATTTTACCCTTCACAAATAAGAGCTTACTGAACAGCGAGGCGATGTTTTAAGTCTTCACTTATAAAAAACTTACCTACTTGATACTTGATACTTGAACAGCCTGCCATAACTACTTGCGCGAGCCCCACCATAATCACTATTTTTCGGAGATTTGCTGGTTAAGCTATTGTGGTTCCCTGGAATACCGAGGACAGCCTTGCCAAAGTCTGCCCCGCGTCGTCATCGCGACAGGCAGTCGCAGACTTTGTGGACTACAGGGAGATTTTCCATCATGCGACTTTGATACCAAGACGGTGGTGGATCCTGGTATTGGTTTACTCTTAGCTAGGCTTCCTGACGGAAACGCCAGACTCCTCGGCTTGGACGACCCTGCCAGAGGCTGAATCGTCCGCTGTATATCGCAGTTCGATATCTAGGAGCACCTCCCAGCCACGATGAGGCGGTAAACTGTTGGGAGGTTCTGGGAAACACTGCCTTCAATTTGCTGATCAGCGACGAGAGGTTTAGGGCAGTGAGGAAAGAGGTTTAGTAAGCCACAGTTTGAAATAGACTGTATTGTTGAGATACTGGTTACTGACTTTTTGCATGTTTTTCCAAAATTCCTTCCTCTATTATAGTAGAAATTCCGTGTTCACTAATGGCCACGATAATCACTTCCTTCTTACCCGAGTGCAGAACGCATTGTCTTCCGCCAATAGTTGACCAAAAAGAAAGCAGCATGTCCTGCCGTTGAAGCAATTCATCGGTGCATTGGGATTTATGACGGGGATTATATGATGAATTTTGCCGAATAACTATCTATGTCGAGCTTGCTGGAGCTCATGTAGTCGTCTTTAATCAAAATGCGGATAGTCCTTTTAAAATGACGCCAGTGATATATCGTAGGATACGAATAAGGATTACTTCGCATGACAGTGGTTAGGGTCATATTGATTAACCTTTCTGAAGAGCAAAATCATCTTAATGATTTGCCACCGTGTACGGAAAAGCCTGAATTCCACAAATAAAGCTATGAGGGGCTACGGGTGTGAATGGAAATGTTCATCAGACGTTCAGATTTTTTGTGATCTGTTTATGGATCTCCAAAATCTTGATACCGTTTTCAAACTGACAAGTAGGCCTACTCTATTCTTAATCAATTTTTTTATATCGATATCTTCCAGTTATGTAACAAAGCGTGTACTTGTAACTTTTGAAAGCAGGACTTCTAAGTGAAAATCACAGTTGAATCCATATGGAAATCCCATTTAGAAACAGTAATGACGTAAGGGCGCGTGTGGCGCAGTGGTCGGAGGCGCCCTGCAACACACACGCGGACTATATCTCTGCACGCATAGTCCACCAAGCCTCCTATCCCTCCAGCGTCGGCAAATTGGTACCAGACTTGTCTGCAAGGATAGCAGCACTGGGTCGATACATCGATAGATCACCGCGGTCACCATTGTAAAGGCCAGATATGCATTCAACCACTTCCAAACGATGCTTAATGAAGTCAAATGCATGGCGCATCCCTCAAGGATTGATCAGCACCAAGAACTTTATCCTTTATCCTCTAATGACGTATTCTGATAAAGCGTACGTTTAAGAACCATTCTCTTTATTAAGATGCTTTCTGATGTGTGACTGTTCATTTCTTCGTAAACTGTTGCTTGGCTCTTGAAATACTAGTCATCATAAGATCGTGATCCTAGTGAATAATTTGTTATTCGACATGGCATGCTTCAAACGATTTCTTTGAGTACTGACTTAATTCTGAACTCAGCAGTTGAGGTGCCTTGCAGTACGTATTGTGTCGGTTGGTATTTCCAGCCCACGTCTCTGACTCACTCATTAAGCCTTTTATCCCTCAAAATCAGCAATTTAGCACCAGATTTATCTAGCGGTATCGACAACACTGACTCGATACATCGTCAGGCCATCACAGGTTATTCTCTAAGCCAGATATGCATTCAGTCACTTCTAATAAAGCATGATGAAGTCAAATGCATGTCGCATCCATTAAGGAATGAGCAACTTCGAGAGATTTACTTTCTTCATTTTCTTAACCCTTTTATTTACTGCCTTTTCTTTTTAATGGCAAGGTATGTTGTGAAATATAACTCGTATGTAATGCTGAGATATTTGCAAAACTCCGGACCGCAGGTGTATGCGGTGGGAAACAAACGCGTCATTACCCTTTCCGGGGCTAACGCTTTCACCATCGCACCATGCGGGTTCTTCAGTTCGCCTTTCTTTCAGCTAGTTCTGTCGATCAGCACCATCGGCAATCACCCGTCAGCGGGATCGATCTGTGGAGTCCACGTCGGAGTTTTGCAAATATCTCAGCATCATTGTGGTTTTGTCAAATATGTCAATATCCTGCCGGGAAAAATAGTATTAGGCAGTAAATAAAAAATTAATATTGTTTATTTGTTACAAAGCATAATAGTAGCTTATAATGTAGCAAAAACTTTACCTTTCGGTGAACACCGTTTTATCACCCGATAGAAAGCGCCTTTGAGATTTCCCAACTTTCTTCTTAAATTGTTTCTCGTTATGTATGTGTATTTGATAATTTAGTGTTGAAGTTACGATGTTATCAGTGCAATCAGCCGTACCAATGCGGCCATGGTGTCTGCTACGGCGATATGTGCGTGAAAACCTCAAGTAAGTTGTACAATCTTGTTAATTTACTTTAGGAGTGTTTTTTTCTTGAAAAGTAAAGGGTGGATTTTCTTCCCATTACTAGAGCTGTATATACTCGTTAAGATGATGGTGAACTTTGTCGGGCTCTGATATTATATTATTAGAAAACAACTAGATGATGTTATTGGGAAATAAAAAGTCAGCCAAAAAGAAATTAGTCGCACTAGAGTCTTTTTGCTAAAACCTTAGAACTTAGACCATTCTGAGATAATTGACCCTTTCTTTGTATATGAGACACATAGTATTCATGAGCTATCTATTTTATTTTGTAGCGCATCCTACTTTTTAGAGTAAAGTTATTGTGATTAAGTTGCAGATAAAGCACCAGAGCAGTAGCTAGCATCAGAAAAACATAAATAAAGAGTTGTCATTTTTAAGATTCAAGTAAATATTTCTCGATTGATTTCAGTATCGCAAAACAATGCCTATGTGAGCAAAGGATGCGAGAATGTTACGTGAGTACCTTATCTAGTCGGTTTTCACTTTCAGTCTTTGTTTGTTCCGTTATTTGAACTCATGAGCTCACGTGCACTCCGAAGCAGTCCAACCAGTCGGTTAGGAGGTCAAACCCTCTATGGGCAGATCTAGACCTCTTCATCGATATCTTATCAATTATTAACTATTATTTACATAATTCAATACTACATACCTCGAATCCGCCATCAACCCAGGCCTTCGGATTTGATTGTGGGTTTGGCTGCTGCGTGAGTCTTCATTTTGGTGTTCTTTATGAATGTCGTTTAATGTGGTTGAGCAGATTATTTCTGCATTCCTGGGATACCTGTAACCTGTGCTATGGCGTTCGTAGACTTCCACCAGCTTCCAGCAGCTATGATCCTTCGTGGATGTGTAAGTGCTCTTCCCAAACAACCTTCCTTCTTTCCCCCTTCTCGACCCTGAAGATATGAGCGGCTTGATTGGCCCAGGACGAGGTCGAACCAACGAGACTTCGTGTGCAACTACATAACATCCTTAAGCGTTTTGCTTCGATGGTTAAGAAAATTATAGGTAACACAAGTGACACGTTGAGCATTAGGAAAGTTTCATATGTGGCTCACTAGATTAAATTCTTCGGATAAAAAATAGAATCTTATAAAAGTGTATGCCACTGTAACGTTAGTAGCACTTATGATGCTGAGATATTTGCAAAACTCCCGACCGCAGGTGTCTGCTGTGGGGAACAAACGCGCTGTTATCCACTCCGGCGAGTAACGCTTTCACCACCACACCATGCTGGCCCCCCGTTTCGCCTGTCTCTCAGCTACTTCTATCTTAGTTAGTAGCACTATTTAGAAAAATCGTGCAAAAAATGCTTGAATTAGAATCAATCTATTTACTTAGTGAGCCGTACTCTTTTCACTCAGCGTTTTGAATATCCTTGATGTTGTCTTGTTTTCATTCACTGTTATTAAAGGGTGTTACTGATTTCCATAGAAAACTGTTAAAGTTGTTAGAGGAATAAAAGTATAAAGGATAAATTCCTAGTACTATTGTTGAGCAAACGCGAGGTGTTACTTTTATTCTTGATTCACCAATAAGCTGACGTTTCGGCGGATTACGCCTTCCTCAGAGCCTGGAAAGGTCAAGTTGACAGCAACCTATTCGGCCAAACACCTCCATAACCAAACAGAGAAAACGCTAAACCAAGATTTCAATCACACTGAACACAGCTTTGCACACTCACCGCTTTCTATGAGGCTTCCACTAAGTATATCGCGTTAAGACCAACCGCACGGAAGTCACATGAAAGTGTAATGTGCCCCACCCATCAGAATAACAGGCTTATATACTGCCCAATATCACGCGTGATAATGAGGCATTCTTCGCTGCGGTTCATTTTCGGATTTTTGGAATTTATCCAAAACGTCGCGAGAGCTTTGCGCGCTTCTGTTCTCAATTCTTGTGCCAGGATCGTGACACGTAAATGATGTAACTACAGCTATAAAACGCTGCTTAAGAAGAGCGGGTCTAGAGAATTAGGCAAACGTAGTTGAAATGCCACCGAATAACCTTAGGCGCCAGCTAGTTCATACCCGCCTATATAACCGTCTATGGGCAACGCAAAATTGCGTAATTTGTCCCAATGGTAGAAACGGTGATTGCATGAGCTCGGGTATAAGTGATCTGATCTCCTGTAAGGCGTGTGGAGACGAAGACATTGGCGAAACGGACAGGCCCCTCTGTGTCCGCGTAAAAAAACACCTAGTCGTCAAACGTAAAGCAAATACCCCACTAGGCACGCATAGGACCTAGAGACATAACGGGAAAAACTTTGAAGTACGTGGTGGTTAGACGGTTTGGTGGACCAAGGACGCAGGGATCGATCCTATGTGCATTGCTGGAAGCGTCTGACCACTACGCCACACAAGCCCTATCTGTTACATTACATTATTACAGGAATACACCGGAAATTACTGTGTGTTCGTTAAACTTCGTAACATGGTGTAATAGTCAATTTCACTAGAACATATTTGCCTCTAGCGTTTACCTTTACTGTGTTTATACTGTTTTGTTAAGATCAGCTTTTTAAATAATTAAGAAGGGCGCGTGTGGCATACTGGACGGAGGCGTCCTGCAACCCACACGTTGAATCGATCTCTCGGCCCATGGCCCACCAAGCCTTCCAACCTCTCGGGGTCGGCAAATTGATACCGGACTTTCTGGCAGGATAGCAGCACTGGCGCGATATATCGGTAGGCCACCGCAAGCCATTATAAAAGCCAGATATCCATTCAACCACCTTCAAACGATGCTTAATGAAGTCGAATGCATGGCGCATCCCTAAGGAATTGATCAGCGCTGGGAGCTTTATCCTTTCTCATTTATCTAATTTGGGATTTATTCAAGCAGAATTAATGATCTTTCGGAAGACTCACAGACAACTCAGATGCGGAATAACAACGCTTGCGTTAATCTTGTACGGTATTTAAGCCGATCGTCTGAGAAGAAATTATGTGATTGCACGGTTTAGTTAACGTTTCATTTTTGCATTTGCTGAAGAAGCAGTGAACGTGAATTTTAAGAGTTCCATTGCAGACTTTTCGCACTTTTACATGAACTCCGTTTACATAGAATTCATCACATGAGCACTCATTGAATTATCTATCAAATTCTACTGATGGAAGGTTCTGAGTTATATTGTTAGTTAAGAATTGTAACAACAGACCACAGATTTTTACAACAGTATTCTGGCATGCAAAAAAGTGTATACGTGGTAGTTATACTATCCATTACGAGGCAGCTCAAGGCTCCACTAAGCCGTTTCGTATATTTGGTCGAGAGATTGGTGCCAAACTTTTCTGGGCCCTACATGCTTGCTAGAAGTTTTCAGGTGGAATAAACTCGACAAGGAACCAGCGAAATTCGTGCCAAGCACGAAAAGCTCCTCAAGTAGCAGCCGAACCAACACGCGAATTCAAAGACCTCCATTGATGATGCACTCTCAGAGATTGTTGAACATCGAGCGTTTTATTCTTTACCCATTATCATAGTATACCTAAGAATTTTATCATTTCTGTAAAAAAAATGGATTTCAATGTTTTAACATCTATTTTCCATCTAATCATTCTTCATGGCACAGTGCTTTGTGAAGTTTAACCACGAGAATGCTGAGATATAGCAAAACTCGGGACCTTAATTGAGCTTCGAACTCCCGATTACCATTTCCGGGAGCTCACGTGCTATCCACCAGACCAACCATGCTCCTTGCTTTTGCTTTATCTCAACTATCTGTTTTGCTGTATCGATGCCACCAGCAATCGCTCATGTTGGTAATAATCTTGGAAAAAGGAATTGGCACTGAATCCAGTTAAGCTGAAGCTTTAACTTAAATCACAATGTCTAAATATTTAAACGTTTTGGCGAAAAGCACGTCAGCCTCCAGTAAGGGTAATCGAGAGTTCGAAGCCGAACTGTGGTCATGAATTTCGCTCATGTCTCAGATCTCTAAGATTGGAACATTTTCATTCTGTAAATTTTAGACATGCAATGAGCCACTATGAGCCACAACTGAAGCTGAAGAGTTATTGCCGCACAGAAGTGGTGTTCGGCATTGAGAGCACAATCTGCTACTGCCGCGACGGTGACTTTTGTAATATGTCGCCACCATCTCTTCTAAATTCTCTCGTCGTTATTATACCTTCGTTGTTTCAAAGAATCTTGTGACATCGATGTTTACTTATTCCGAAGATCCTGCTACAATGTATAAGGCTTCAGCTGTTTAATATCTTCAATTTTTTCGTATCTCCTTCATCTCCATGTGCCTTCAGGAAGATATATAGAGGTGAAATAATAGTAACGGCAACAATATTTTGCCTTACGTGCCAGAAACACTACTTCTTTGCTTCCATTGAGCACCCGGGTTTGGAACACCCAGAGTTTCCTTGTGGTCAGCAGGATTTTCAGCATTTCTCTTCATTCATTATATCCGTTTTGATTTATAAAGATTCTCATCTGTGCACCAAAACTGGTTTTGTCTTTCATTGAATGATATATTGATGATTTATTGATCTGTATTGATCCCGCATTGACATATCAAATCGTTGTATTCTGTCTAAATCTCTCATATAGTCAATAGACAATAATAGTGATAATAATAATACATGTATTTGCCGTTAGAGTAGACAATCTCCTATTCATACGATTAACACCAACAACAGCATGACTAGTAAATTGCACCATTGAGAATTATTGCTATTTAGCGGAAGGCTTTAACACAGAACAAGTACGACAGATGTCACAGTGATAATGAATGAACGTTGGACGACCAAGGTGTAGACGAACATTGGCGAATTTCAATAGCATTCTACCCAAACTCGTATTTTTTTAGTATTAAAGCACAACCGCCTTAAGACATGTATCGCATTTCGAGCACCCAGTTATTGTATGGTAGAAAAGACATCACTTCTAGAATGATCGTGTGATTCAGCAACAAGTGTATTCAGCGTAAAGTGAATGTAATGGTTAGAATGAAAACTTCTTTAACGCAACAGAATGACAACAATAACATAATGAAGTTAAAGGAAAAGTGCTAGCACTGGATAGCGCGTGCCTGGATAGCTCGAGCTACGTATCAAATATTAGCTTCTAATTGATACCCAAACGATGCCACATACAGACAGGTAATCCGTGCTTTTTGATCATCTGAATCCAATGGGCATAGCCCGTGATGTCACCCATACGACCGATTACACAATGGCCAACAGATATCGGTTGTCCGGAGGAGTCATGGTCGAACATCTGGAAGTTGAAAACTTTAGGTATGTGCTACTGATAGCGAATGAAGTTCTGCAAATGCTGGATCGAATCTGCTTCAGGTCTATCTGTAATAAAAGTCTCATTGTTTAAGATTAATCGAGCGCCTTTTGGATCAGGCTAGGTCTTTACTTCAATTAAGGGAACTAATAAAAGAAACCTATTGACTGAAGAACCCTGAGGTCACACTTCTGACATCAACTAGAAAAGTGATTTCGACCAGGAACTGTGCCGGTTTTTGGTTGATTATCACATTACGGTCCATTTTTTATGGTAAAGTAATTTCTACTGAACAATGAAAGAATGAAAGGTGTTACAGTAGTGAGATATGTCCGGAACGTCTTTCTCTTTGCCGCAGTTTTTTTTAGGTTTTTATTCAGCGAAAAAGACATGGGTTTGCTGCGTAAGCATTGGAAAATGTAGGTGTTAAATTATCACTATCGATTGTAAAAATAGCTATTCCTCTTCTGCTTAAAGAACTTGCCTCGATGACAATATGACATCGGTCGAGTTTCAACGGCGACACGTGGAATAGAAATGATTCTGAGAAGGAAGCATCGCCTGACGATGAGCTAAGAGTTGATGAAACCGAAGAGGAGGAGACTTTGGATGAAGTGCTAAAAAGGAATGAATTACCTTAGTAATACTAGTAAAAAAGGTAATAGGGAAAGTATGAAAGTAAAGCCGACCACTATTTCCGATGAAGTATTTAAGTCAAGGATGTTAGCTAAGAGGCCGTTTCATAGGATTGTTTGGCATTTGCCAGAGATTCTAATGTGACTGTGACGCATAGTTCTCCGTTAATTTAGATACTACAGATATTTTAGATACTAATGGTCACTGTTGCTGATCAGAAAGGGTTAAAAAACTTAAGTTGATTAAACGAAGGACAAATTTAAATTACTGGAAGCTTGTTATACCACTAAATGTTGTAAACTGAAATATTTTGTGCACCTGCAAAAGATTTTCCTACAAATTTGTCGCTGGTCAAAAATGCCAGCGACTTTTTTCCGTGTCAGAATTGAAGATCTATTCATCTCTCTTCGTCAAACCCTTTTCGAATCGGTCGAGATACATTAGTCACGTTGAAATGACACATATAAGAGGAGCTTACTCTACAGAAGATTTCTGAGCAACCGAGGGATTAATGGTGGTTTGTTTCTGCTCCAAAAGTCGTCGGCCATCAAAGAGCATAATGCGAGCGAACGGAGCTGAAAATTACATTAAGCTGAGACATTTTTCTTATGAATGTGTCGTTTTCTTGTTCAGCAATCGCGAGGTTTTTAAACAGCACATTTTTCTTATTTCAAAGAGTTTCGCTAGCGTCAAAACGAGTACAAAAAGATATTGTGTTGTAACTTCCGGGCAGAGACGAAATGTGGTTACGTAGCCTTAGTATTAATAAAGGTCGACGGATATTCCGATGAAAGTGGAACAATAAAGAAAAATCCAATAAAGAGAACGGGTAGCGCAGTGTTAGTAATGCCGATTATCACAAGGTCGTTGCTCGTTTGATCCCACACTAGGTTTACCAAGCCTCTCTTCCCTGCGGGATCAGAAAATTGGTAGCACACTTATTTGGAAAAGTAGCCAAGTGGAGACGTTCTAGCCTAGTTATCTCAGGACTGCAGGGAGAATCGACTAGTCGAGTATTCAACGACATTAGTGATGAAAGGAAAACCCTCTAGCAGCAGACGAAACTTGATAGAAAGAGTTAGAAAGCTTTCATTGATGATAGATGAGAGGAAACGAATGGAAGGCAAGAATTACTGGGATCCGCACAGTAGATGTGAAAGACGGGCCGTGTAAAAGAAATATTACTGAAATAAGTGACACTTGTATGGCTGTGCTTAGCGATGCCCTGCGATAGAAATTTGGTCATTGTTTCGATCATGCGCCCTGCACAAACTCGTCACTTCATCCCTCAGGGATTATGCCTTTTTATTTAGCTCTGCGCTGCTTAGTGAAGTCGAATGCATGGTGCATTCGTAAGCAATTGACTAACGCTAAGCGCTTTATACTTTTTAACAGCATCAGTGGAATAAAGATGAAAAAATCCATAGCCTGAATCAATAACCGTATATGTTTAACAAGTATGTTCAACTCACAATTGTTGTAAGGTAATGATTTTGCTCGTTTTATTGTAGCTGTAATGAATTGCACTGATGGCGCATAGGTCAGAATAGTCAAAAGCTCACAGTCCGTCTCCGACGAGCTCTAAAATTATATTTCTAAGCAGAAATCTAGTGTTCAAAAACGATAAGAGCTCATGATATACTCTGCTTTGCAAAACGACAACTATAAAGAATACGCCATTGAAGAAAAAAGCGACATGAATAAGTTATTTAGCCGTAAGTAAACAAGTAACAACAAGCAAAGGTAAGCCTAGAATAACTAATAGGTGGATGTCTTCGGATCAAATTACATGTGGTAACTCGCTGCTCATCGAAGAAGCTTGACACATGAGGATTACTTCCCATACTTGCTCCTTAGCGCTTGTAAGAGTAGCTCAACGGGATTCCACGTGTTCGAGGAGTTCGTGAAGAAGATCAACATGTTTTTCGTGGGAGATTCTCGTGAAGAAATTTTACAATTGGTCAACGATTTTTTTGATGTGAAATGTAGCTGCCGTCGATTTCCTTCCTCACTACCTTTCTGGATGCAATAATGGAAGTGTGGGGCGCCAAAAATATTAGTGACGAAACCGAGAAGACCATTGGGGATATTCATATAGGAGTCATCTTCGTGAGAGATGTCATAGATTAGATTAGATAGATAGTAATGTATTTAGACTTTCTGAAAACTTTTAAGATTACCGGCTTTCTAAGTCATGAGGCTTTGAACTAAGAGCATTTTTTGTCGGTTTTGGCGCTAGCAGTAAGTAGGTACATAATATTCCAGTGGGATTACTGGAACTTTGGAACATAACAACAAAAGTTATATCGCTTTTTTAATAATGACACTATAGTCATGGCCATTGTGGGATTCATCAACAGCCGATTTAAAGAGAGACACGATGCTTTTGGAGGAATTGTAGTTAATTCAGATAACTTTTCACTTTACCCCCTTAAATTATCTCAAATCCTATCACGTCGGATATTCTGAGAAGCAGCTTTTTCTAATATCGCATCACAAGAGGTTCCAGAAAGCTATGTCTTCTTGTCTCAGTCAGCCAGATAACACTATAGTTGATCATTTTTGTTGACACTAACGGTTCCTCAATGGAAGCCTCCTATGCCAAAGTTCGCGCTCGCCTTTGCAACGTCCTCAAAACAGGACTTTTTGTCCTTTCCAGTGCGACGACTCGACAGTCCTCCGTTTTTTGGAATTCACTCCACGCAGGTAAGTAAAAAGTCAACCAGACTATATCATGAAGAAAACAATTCCCAAATATAATTTGCTCGAATTTCCAGGATCGCTGTGAAGCTCTTTTTTGGAAGGTCCCAAACTGCTTCATATTCTTAAACTGTATTTTTTAAGGACAATGTTAAATAAAATCTATTGAAAAATAAATACTTTGAATAATCCTGATCTAAAAAGAACTCTTTTTAGATAGCAAGCAAAATCTAGCTTGAAGAGTCGACAAAGGGTATCAAAAACAACGGATGAATGAATAAGGCTACAGCCAACATTTCGACAGATTTCGCCTTCTTCAGAGACTGGAAAAATCAAGTCCTGGAAATGAATAAACCAGTTAGGATCACAAAATAGGTCGTCATACCCATGACAGTAGATAACTATTATTTCCATGAAATTCACAAGATTTCAAAGAAAAAACGAAAAATCTCACTTTCTTAGCGTTGTAGGCTCTTTGAAACTCTAAATCATCAGCACTGATTCGTGAGATTCGTTCAGGCAGCGTTTCCTCTTCCGTCTACAATTTGGATACATTCATCTCGATAGATTCAACCGAAAAAGAAAGTAAACTGAAAAAGACGCAGTTTGCCGGTTTTCTTTTTTTCGTCTTTCGAGAATAAAGGGGCCAGATATGGTCGCATTTTACTCGAACAAAGATCTCCATAACCTCAATGGATTTTAACCATTGGCTTAGTGTTGATTTTATGGAATAACAAGTGGCTCCAACAAATCAAAGACCACTCGAGACAACTTATATGCAACGGTTATAGCTTTTTCGGTTCATTTGAGAAGTTTTATTAAAAAAAACCTCTTCTAATCCAGAAAAAGAAATTTTCCAGAAAAAAAGAAGAAAAACAAGCAAGATGATGAATGCAGCCTTGTAGGATAGTGTATGTCAGATAAGAATGATTTCATGATGTGAGTAAAGTTCACTAAGGAACCCGATGTGAAATTTGTCCGCAATATTGAACTATATCGCTTCATAAAGCTATTACTAACCTAAATGTAAGACTTTAATGTGAAGTTAACAAAGTGGCCGTTTTTACTATTCGAGTTAGAAGGATAGGTTAAAAAAAACTTCGATCCAAATGGTTAGCTGGTTGAAAACAAAGGCTACGAGATTTATGTATTGTGCATGACCATATATGGCTTTTACCAACCCTTAAAAATTAAATGGTTTTCACGAATTAAACGAAAAAATGAAGGAGGAGAAAAGAGAAAACAAACCGCCAAGACTCTATCTTCAAGGTCACAATCGAATACGCTCCTCTGACCTGGATCCTCATTTGATAAGAACTTAGTCCAAGCATCTTTATGAGGTGCCACTTTTTCTTCTTTAAGTTCTAAACACGAAAGAGCTCTTAGATTTTTGTTTTAAGTAAAATGACTAGTTTATCTTCTAAACTTCTTATGACAAAAATAACCACAATGATGCTGAGATACTTGCAGAACACCGGATCGCAGGTGTCTGCAGTGGGAAGTGAACGTGCTTTTACCCTTTCCGGGGAATAACGCGTTCACCACCACACCATGCGGGCTCTTCGTTTCGCCTGTCGCTCAAGCTTGTGATATATTTTTAAAACCTGTACCTTCATTTAACTTTGATAAACCTACAGCAAATTTACAGGTGCTATTTAATATAACGTTGGAAAAACTATACTTGCAATGCAGTTGACTTAATAATCTGGCGAGTTTTTTCTGATTTTCCAAACGAGAGTTTTCGTTTCTAAAGTTAAATCGACGCCGAAAAGTTTCTGAAGCAATTCCGATAGTTGTTCGCATGGAAAAAACAAAATATTATAACGGTACATAAAATTTATAGGGGCATTCTCTGCGAACCAATTTGACTTAGCTTTCAGCCGCCGTAATCAATTCTCATGAGAAACGATGAGGTCTCTAAAGCACTTTTTACAGAAACGAGAGCTTCTCATAGATGTTCTAAGCAAAAGAAATAGAGACTAGCCTTTCTTTCTTTTTTTTGGAAAGAAAAACCTGGGAAGTCCGAACGAGAAAAATCTCTTTAGGGTCTCATTGAAATTTCCTACGCTTCCACTCTCACCTCCATGCCGATCTCCCCATTCTCGATGTTCAAGCTTGGCGGCTCGACCATGCTTAGTGCCGTTTGGACGTGGATCACTAAAAGCTGGGCTTTTAAGTTTTTGTTGAAAAAATAGTAGAATGAGAAATAGGAGGAAAAGAAGAAGGAAAGGAAAGTTTAACATTCTCATCGCAATTCGTTTGGAACACTGGTTATATTTTGCACAATCCAACTGGCTTTTTGCGTCAAACTACTTTTCACTCTCTACTAATCTCTTCGTATTTCGACATGGGAAACCTTCAAAATCTTATTTTCGAATTTAGTACAAGACTAGCAGCTGAGAGTAATCTGAATAGGACACAAGATCAAACGTGAGACCTAGCTGACGATTCCAAAGAGAACTTGTAGTGAAAAGTTTCATTCAGAATTATAGTTCATTTTTTTTGTTTTCACAAAAATTTCCCTAGAGGCCGTAAGTTCACCGAAAATAAAAGATTCTTAAACATGGTAAAAATTTAACAACTATGATTTAGGAAACATCATCAGCAGTGAGAAGGAAGAAAACTAGCAAGTAAATTTATCTCAAAGAGAAATTTATGTTATGTGCTACGCTATTTACTTCTTTTCGATAAGTAACCAGTCACTCACCGATGAATTCGATTTGCTCTCGCCGCTGGTGCGGGTTGATTCTTTCCGGCTTTATTCATGTTCTTTGGAGCCCAGCCAACAGATGGATCTGTTCCGGCTTGAGAAGGTGGCTGAAAATCGAGGACTCTTTACTGTTAATCTTAAAAGTGCTTAACCATTTAATTATTGATTGATTATCAGAAAAGCACAGTTTTTCCAGATGCTTTAAGCGTTTTTTTTCCACATAGTCAAGAGAATTTTCCCTTGGAAGCATAAAAACTATCTAACGATCAACGTTCATATTTAAGACGAAAACAATTATTGCTTTCTTAGTTGTAAAAACACCAATTAGTAAAAAAAAAGTGCAGGGAATTGTAATATTTATATAAAAAGTGTAATTACAAACGTTATTAACCATTAGATGAGGAAACAGATGAGTAAAGAGACGAAAATCAACAAAATAGTGGAACTAGAGTGATTTAGGGACGACGAAAAATCAATACAATCAATAAGTTAATATTGCTAACCGTCTTATGAAGTTGTATGCCTTTATGTGGCATGTTGATGAACGATTGATACTCGAAGAAGTGCTTGGCGATGAAGTTCATGCCCTGAACGACAACGATTTCCATCGTGGTAGACGTACAGTACTAGAACCAAACATTCAAGTCCTTAAACACTTCATTGTTTTTCTTTCACTCTCAAACATTCATGGTCACCATCATCATCATTTTCTTCTTCTTCTTAACTGACTTATTATTAACATAAAGAAAACCTGTAATTCTGAAACGTTTGAATGTATTCATATCAAAGTGCTAGAAAACATACATAAGTACAGAGAGAACAACTACTATTGTCTGTTTCCTCTTAGAAATTAACTGTTTTTGTTCCTAGAACCATTTCATCCTCTCACATCTTCAGAAGAGTTGAGACGATCATAGAAGCATAATTTTACTACATTTTTAGCAATAAATAAACCTAATTTCACAATGTTTAACGTTTTTTGTTTTCTGCCTTCTATAATTTTCATGGCAGGTTACTAAGCGAAATACAACCACAACGTTGCTGAGATATTTGCAAAACTCTGGACCGCAGGTGTCTATGGTGGGGAACGAACGCGCTATTATCCTTTCCGAGGAGTAACGCGTTCACCACCACACCATGCGGGTCCTTTGTTTCGCACGTCTCTCAGCTATTTCTATCGATCTTTTCGCCACAGCAATCACCCGTCAGCGGGGTTGATCTGGGGAGCGCAAATCGGCATAGAACCCAGTTAAGCTATGGCTGTAGTTGAAATCACAATGTTCAACGTTTTTTTGTTTTCTGCCTTCTATAATTTTCATGGCAGGTTACTAAGCGAAATAAACCTAATTATAATTTTTGTCGGTTCTGTAAAGTAACCGATAGGAGTCCTGTTGAGTGCGAGATGTTTTTTGTTCTTCGTTTTAGGTTAAACGAAATGAGTACTGGAATTACTGCTGAGCTTTTCTTGGCTTCCGTTCCATAGAACAACAGACGAGTGGAATGAAAATCGTCACTGGCACCAAACTCAGCTAATGTAATGAGTGGAATGCTGACGATAGCTGCACAACCACTTTCGGCTCTACTGATGTGATTTGGTTAGTCAAAGTCAATTTTCTTTCATACCGCCCTCTTAAGGTTCCATATGCTAATAAAGACTTGAGACAACTTAATTTTAAGCCAAATGGCTATTGAGCTTAATAAGTTAAAGTTCTGAGTTGTGCTCACTTCGATCGTAGTACAATGATCTTCATAGGAATGACTTCGTGGTGATGAACGTTTCGTGATGGCACGCGGATGCCTCTTCGTTCTCCACCAGAACGATTTCATCATATCGTCGTTCATTTTAACTACAGGTGTAGAAGAATGTTAGTGTAGAAGAAAATGATCAGACGGATGATATATAGGATTCCACCCGTCATTAAAGAATGGTGTTACTAGTACGACAGAAGCAACGAATAACCGTCACCATTGGTAGTTGCTTCCTAATACAGCAAGAAAAAACATTCATTGTAAGAAAATGAACCATAATGGAGATTCTCATAACAACGTCTGATGGATTTTGTACGTGAAAGAAGATATGAGAGCAGCCTTTACTGCTAATAGACATTCCTCTAGTGAACCAGCGAACCATTTTGTTCATTCTTTACAGACATTTCTTTGTGTGTCGCAAAAAAAACAGTGATTGATTAAGCAATTAGGAAGAATAGGAAAAAGGTGACTTTTTTTGTTGTTTTCAAGGCCTTTGCGACTCGGCATTCAGAAAGTGCAACTAATTACTAGAAATAGTGAGGACAGCCGTGACGCAAGACAAGTTTGGAGTAAGAAGTGCGACTAAATTCGCGTTGTCGGGAGAAAAAATGAGCCGGAAAACACCGCCTTCCGGACGGACGGACGGACGGACGTCACCGATCACACCCTCCGGCCGACCACTTCGCCGACCAAGGCTTAACGATCAGACATAGAGATCGGATCGCTTTCTTCTGTAGATCTCACCAAAACTTCTAACCGAATTCTCCGGAAGAGTAAACTAAAGGAAAACCGAAAGAAATAGAAAAAAGCGAAAAGTCGAAGTACATCTGCTCTCCATCAAAGGTGGCCACTTTACCAAGCAACGCTTTAATGATAGTCCATAGGTTGTGCCTAGCCTTCGTTACCTAGATCTCACCAACACTTCTAATCGAATTTTTCAGAAGATGAAACGAACAAAAAACTGAGCAAATCCGGAAGAAAAGCAGAAAAGATAAAAACTAAGTATGAAGTTTCTTGGTAAAAAATATCTTCACTACAACTCATGTCGCTGTCGTATACCACCGAGATTTTGCAGATAAACGAAATCACAAAGCAATTCTCGCTTATCGACGAAAAAAAAGAAGCGAAACGACTGGTTGAAAATAAAAAAACACGAAAAAAGTGATAAAATTAATAGCGCATTTTTTTCCTTCAATAGTTCATCAAAAAATTTAGCGCCACCTGATTCTTTTGGCGATAATAGACGAGCTAATGACAAATTACGCTTCTTCACTCCTACGATTCTCCAGCGACATTTCCAATATGGTATTTTCTTCATTATTATAGATAATCCGCATTGATTTTTCCTTATATAGAAAAAGATAAGTCATCAGTCACAAATTCAATACTCCAAAAGAGACCTAATAAAATTTTGGGAGCCAAAAAGAAAGGCCAGAGAGGAGTTCGGTAGTCGGTCTGGCTACGAGATTTTATCCTCGTTCGACTTCAACGAAATTTTGTGGCTAATTACTGGGCGGACAGGCAATTCCTCAAAAAGCCGGAAACGTTAATCTTGACGTCTGAGAGAACACAAGGAAAATTGGATGAATGCTCACCAACGGCTACTCGCCGTTATTCACTAACTTCAGATTTTGCAGGGAATTAAGATCTTACAAAATAACTCCAATAAGATCAACAAAAATAAACAGTGAAAGTGTTTACTTTTACATAATTGACTACTTAGATACTTATCAAGTACGTTAGAATGGAAACTTTCAGTTGGATTCCTAGTACATTCTTTTCTATGGTCATCGGTTCAGGGTGCAACAACAAAAAGGCATATATGACAAGGAGCATAAGTAATTTTAAGCATTAATCGAAGAAATAACTAAACATTCGAATAACTATGTGTGGAAAGGCCACAAAGAAAAGTTTTGGTGAGGTCGAATAATCGACTATTCGAATATTCGGCATCTCGAATGTTCTCAAAAAATTCGCTCATCAAGGGCCGGCGCGTGTAGGCAAGCGTAGAGAGTGAATTGAAATTGAATATCAGAACGTAATTAACGCGTAGTCGAGCCAGAAAAGAGAAAAGATCAAAATTTCATCTCATTCACTCACAAATTACTCTACACTTTACCTAACTAAATCATATAAGTACAATATAAAGTCGTCGAACCGATAGATCTGATAGAATTATAATTTTCCTAGTTTCAAAATACACAAAGTTGCTGAATCCATTTTTTCGGCAACGATAAAATTTCACCGTTATAGGACTCATATAATCATTTTAAAGTTACTTTGTAGACAACATTAAGGGTTTCCTTTCTCAGAACTCATATAAGCCTATTGAGTTCATTTTACTGAAAGCATCCAGAACCTTCACGGTTCATAAATTTCAACTTAAATTTTCACATTCGTGAAGAGTGTTTTATCCAAAGGAAAAAAATAAAACTTAAGCTATACTTACTTAATGTGGAAGTCAAATGCTCGACTTTTACAAAGGGGAAATTTTTTCTAATCACAGCAAATTTGAAAGAAAAAACTGCTAAAGAAACTACGAATGAAACCACTTTCTGACTTTAGAGATAAGGAAAAAAAACCAATTGAAGGGAACATGCCAATGAATGTCGACTGAAACTATTCAAAAGGCGAAATGACCACCGTCAAGTATCCAATCATTGCGTTGATTTGCCTTTCTTTTCACCACAAACAAGCAGAGCTTAAACAATTCAAACAAAAATGGAATAAATAGCTTCCTGGCCCCGATTTTTATTAGTCCACATAAATTTTTTACTTACCGGCCATCTAGAGGCTCTTCTAGCACTAATAACAAACTACTACTATAGAGTACCATAAAAGAAAAAACTTTCTTTCGGTAGTGTTAAACACTTATGTGGAAAAAGTTCAGCATTTCATGGACATACTTAAACTGATTATTATTAGCTGGAAGTCACTGAAGTGAATTCTGTCTATGAATGTCTGATGATGAAAACTGGACAAATAGTTGGTATGAATGCATCCGTTATTGTGATTTCTCCTAGGTTCTAGAAAACCAGATTTGAAAACAGGAAATGATCTAAAACTGAAATATAAAGAGTAGAAAATTGGCCTAAGTGACGTTATTCAGAAGTTCATAGCTGGAATTCCCGTGAGAAGGCGATGAAACGACGATGATTGCAAGACCGAATAGGCTCTGGTGTGGAATGGCAGATTTGATGGAATGGACGACATTTGAAAGAAAAAACACCAATACCTCAATCCTATCGTTACAGGATTTCATGCCGATAGGATGGATCGTCAAAGGGTTTCAAATTGATAGGATGCATAGTTTTCGTTGGTCCTCAGTAGAATACCTATCGATGCCTTCACATTTAAAAGTCGACATAGCCGTGATATAATATGAAAAATATACCATTCTCTATTTGTTCTGTCCTATCAGATAATATTTTAGGTTTTACGTCTCCTACTTTAATGTACGTGTCAATCATTTTACCAATAATCGACTGTGATCTCTTATCCATAATGGCATCGTTTTTCTTCTTTGTAAGGATTTTTTTATAGCGTAAAGAATAATAGAAGGAAAAAAGTGGAAATGGAAACTGAGACGACAACGTCAATGAAGATAGAACCCTCGCCAACATAGTGGCTTCATATTTTTAATGGTGGAAATTTATTGTTGGATAATGGTCAGAAGCTTTACCTCTAATATATAAAAAACTATACTACAAAATACAAATATTACAGATAACCGCAGAAAGACAGGCGTGATAAATGTTTTCAGATCTGAAATGCCTACAGCTATATACAAGCGCGCGGGAACTACTTCGATAGTTTCTGATGAAAATCGAATATTCGAATATTCGAATAATCGATATCTCGCATAAACTCAAAAAGTGCCAATCATCAACAGCGAGAGTAGGCGTATAGAGTGAATTGAAACTGAATATCAGGACGTAATTAACGCCTAAACGAGTCAGAAAAGAGAACGAGGATCAACACAACTCTCCAATTACTCTCAAATTACTCTACACTTTAGTTTAATCAAATAGCTATCATGTAAAGTTATGAACTCATTTGTTCGACAGCACTGAAATTTTTCTCGTCTCAAAAACTCATATGAACCGCTTGAAAACACTTTAACGCTGAAGAGACACTGTAACCCCGTCAGTTTCACAAATTCCTAACTTGCTTTCTATATAAGACTTGTATTTAAGAAAAAACAAGAATTGAGCTTAGTTTAGTTGAAAAAGTGAGATGTTACAAATCGAATTCTATTCGAAACGTTTTTTAAACCATTACTTTTAGATCGATCATTCGAGTCCAACGCTGGGGTTATATTACAAAAAAATTACCCCATCGACAATAAACACGGAGAAAAATCGATGAAGGGAAAACAAATCACTTATTAATAAGATAGACCAAATTTTCAAACCCACCGTTATTTAACCTCGGTAGTGAAACAATCAACATGTTTTTAATTTATTCAGCTTAGAAGAGGTCGATAGAGATGTTTATCTCCCACG